TCTTGGCATCAAGCCCTAAACCCTAGAAGCTCGAATCTGAACCTTAAACCCTAAACCCTGGTCTCTGATCTCCCCAAACCCTAAACCCTAAACCCTAAACCCTAAACCCTAAACCCTTATTTGCTGCAGACCCACCGACACAGTGAACACGTTCCAGTCTTGGCTGTCTTCTGGGGCCCCCAGCAACGCCGAGGCCTCCACTGTGATTTCTACTTCAATTTTTGCTGCTGCCTGGCTTGCAGCAGCAGCAGCAGCAGCAGCAGCAGCAGATGCTGCTGCTGCTGCTGCTGCTCCCGCTGCAGTTGGGGAGCTGGGCTGGTCTTTGGGTGTCCCTTTCGCCGCAGCAGCCGCTTGTTCCTGCCGGTGCCGCTGCTGCTGCTGCTGCTGCTGCTGCTGCTGCCGCTGCTGCTGCTGCTTTGCGTCAGCAACGGCCTGGTCCGCTGCTGCTGGCGGGTTTGCTGCTGCTGCTGCGGGACACAGCAGCACTTTTGCTGCTATCTTTTGCTGCTCATGAATAAGGGGAATTAAACTTAAAGTTTTTGCTGCCAAAACTGCAGCAGCTTCTTTTGAAGAAGCAGCAGGTTCTATTAGCTGCACCTGCAGCCCGCGGCTAACCTCGTCCAGGGTCTGCGCAGCTGCAGCAGCAGCAGCAGCAGCAGCAGCAGCAGCAGCAGCAGCAGCAGCAAAGACGCGAAGCCATACGGTCGAGCAAAACAGACTGGTGACAAAGAATTGGGAAGCAGCAGAGAGTGCCCCACAGGGCTCCCCTAAACCCTAAACCCTAAACCCTAAACCCTAAACCCTGCTCACAAACGTTGAGAGAGACTCTGTTAATGTTCAGCTCCAGGGGCTCAGCACTTAAAGGACTGCTCTCCAGAACTTCTGTGAAAAGACCTGCTGCTGCGCAGCAGCAAAAGGGCAGACAAGATTTGCTGCTGTGCTGCAGCACGAGAGGAGACAAGTTCTGCTGCTGTGCTGCAGCAAAAGAGCAAATGAGTTTGCTGCTGTGCTGCAGCAGCAGCAGCCACGTGGGGTTTATTGCTGCTGCTGCAGTTTGAAATTAAAGAGAAGCCTCAATGAAGCAGCTAACGACTATCACAAGAACATGTATAACAGCAGCAGCAGCAGCAACAGCAGCAGCAGCAACAGCAGCAGCAGCAGCAGCAGCAGCAGGAGTGTCTCCACACCAGAAAGCTGAAGTCGCGCTGACTCCGGAGGGACCCCAGACACGAGCCGCACCTACAGTAGAAAGCAGAAGTCGATTCTGCAAAAGGGTTTAGGGTTTAGGGTTTAGGGTTTAGGGTTTGGGGTTTAGGGTTTAGGGTTTAGGGCGTAGGAAATAGGGTTTAGGGTTTAGGATTTGGGGTTTAAAAGAGTCCATGCTCTAGGCACTTGTGTCTGAACCTTCGCCCTTAAACTCAGGCGTAAGATTAGGGTTTAGGGTTTAGGGTTTAGGGTTTAGGGTTTAGGGTTTAGGGTTTAGGGTTTAGGGAACTGGCTGACGTGAAAAAGGAGCTCTACAGCCTCCCTCTCCATTCTCCTTCCTTATAAAACGCATGCAGAGGGCGCATGCATGCATGCATGCAGTTGGGGCTTTTCTTGCTTTTGCTGCAGCTCTGGTTCGCAGCCAATGAAGTCAGGCTTAGGGTTTAGGGTTTAGGGTTTAGGGTTTAGGGTTCAGCGTTTAGGGTTTAGGGTTTCGTTCACGTAGGCGGGCGCGCGAGGGATCATGGAGTAGATCTGCTAAAGTTATTGGACAGGTCGAAGATGCAAAATGAAAACTGAAACCCTAAACCCTAAACCCTAAACCCTAAACCCTAATTCTCAAACCCTACACAGGGGAGGGAAGGAAGGCGCGGTGACCCCGGGGGCCCCCAGGGTCACTCAGTTGGCGTTTTTGGAGTAAATTTCAATTTTTTGGATTTCAAATAAAATAAAAGTAAAATTAATTTTAAAAATTGAATTTTATTTATTTAATTTTGCATTTAAAGCTGCTGCTGCAGCCACAAACTGCTGCGGCCCGCCGGGCCAGCCGCGCATGCAGCAGATGAGCAGTGAACAAAACCCCCTCAGATCTCGCCTCTTTTCCGGATTAAAGTTGTTTTTTTTAATTTAATTTAATTTATTAATTATTTATTTGTTATTTTTAATTTATTTTATTCATTTTAACTCTTCAGGCGAGCATTTTCGCGGCCAAAGTGTGCTGCTGCTGGGGTCACCCCGCAGCGGCGGCGGCCGACTGAGATCCTTCAAGTTGCAAGTTGCAGAAAACTCGCCGAATTGATCTTTAAAAGGTATTATTTAATTAAAATAAATAAATATTTTTATTTTTCAACAAATATAAAGAAAAAATAAAGCAATTTGGCCCCCATTAAGGGCTTTAATGAGCAACAAAATCCGCCTCTGGCTGCGCTAGTCCGCCCCACTTGGAAATAAGGCCAAAAATAAGAACTACCAGCCACCCAAACAGCCACAATAAATTAACATGCATGCATTTGCATGCGTTTGCATGCATTTGCATGCGTTTGCATGCATTTGCATGCATTTGCATGCATGCATTTGCATGCATGTATTTGCATGCGTTTGCATGCGCTTGTGTGTGTGCCGGCGTTGCGCGGATTAGCAGCAGGTGTACATACACCTCAGAAAAAGCCCTAACTGTCTAGACACCCCTAAGCTTTCTTTTGCATGCACTCTTGCATGCAAAGGAAAGCCCCAACAATTGCTGCTGCTGCTGCTGCTGCTGCTGCTGTGTGAGAAAGGAGGGAAATAAGAATTGTTATTCGTTTTGAATTTGGGGTGTATGTACACCCGAGAGGCCCTCGAAGCTGCCGATGGCCCGCTCTACGTATGCCTCGAAAAGAACCGAAACAAAGCAGCAGCAGCAGCAGCAGCAGCAGCTGCTGCTGCTGCTGCTGCTGTTCCGCGCTGCAAAGTGTCCACTGCATGCAAGCCTCTCTTTCAGGTGTATGTACACCTGAAAAGAATGCGCCCCAGCTGCTGCCTTTTGCTGCTGCTGCATGCAGCAGCAGCAAAAGGACAAACTGCGGGGCAGCTTCCTCTAATTGGCATTTATTTTTAATTTCATTTTTAATTAATTTATTTTTTATTTCTTTCGAACAAAGCAGCACACCTCAACCACCAATCGCAACGCAAAAAGCCCCTGACAGCTGCTGCTGCTGCTGCATGCATGCAGCACTGCGTGCATACACCTTTGCATGCATGCATCTTTGTATGCATGCATGCATCTTTGCATGCATGCATGCATTATTTGCATGCATGCATCTTTGCATGCATGCATGCATTATTTGCATGCATGCATGCACTATTTGCATGCATGCATGCATTATTTGCATGCATGCATCTTTGCATGCATGCATGCATTATTTGCATGCATTCATGCATTATTTGCATGCATGCATCTTTGCATGCATGTCCTAAACGGGGCAAAGAAAACTGCAGCAAAAGCCAGCAGCAGCAGCGGCTGCAGTGTCTGTACACCGCAGCGCCCGCCGCAGCTGCATGCAGTTGCATGCAGGCGAAACGCATGCATTACATTTTATTTCATTTTATTTCATTTTATTTCATTTTATTTCATTTTATTTCTTTTTATTTCTTTTAGTTTTTTAATTTGAGTTCAGAATGCAATTCTTTATGCTTTTCACCACTGTCAGCTGCTCCGCCTTCACTCTGCTGTTTATCCACTCCGGCACACCAGCTGTCTTCAAGTCAGCCTGCAGCAGCAGCAGCAGCAGCAGCAGCAGCAGCAGTGGTTGCAGCAGCAGCTGCAGCAAGTGCAGTAGCAGCACGAACCAAGCAGCAGCAGCAGCAGCAGTGGCAGCAGCGCCAGTAGCAAGAACCGTAACAGCATTAGCAGCGGCAGCAGCAGCAGCAGCGACTGCAGCAGCAGCTGCAGCGCGCCTGCTGCAGCAACAGGCTCTCTGCCACTGCAGCAGCGCAGCAGCACAGAACCCGCTGCAGCAGCACAGAGCCCGCTGCAGCAGGCAGCAGCACAGCGCCTGCTGCAGCAGCACAGAGCCCGCTGCAGCAGGCAGCAGCACAGCGCCCGCTGCAGCAGCACAGAGCCTGCTGCAGCAAACAGCAGCACAGCGCCCGCTGCAGCAGGCAGCACTGCAGCAGCAGCAGGCAGCAGCGCAGCAGCAAAAAGGCAAACCTGGACGCAAAAGCTCAGCAGCACATCTCCGTTTTGCTGCCGCTGCAGGTCATAGCCCGCCAGCTGCAGCACGCCGCGGACTAAGTCGGGGACTTGGCCTTCTATTGGCTCTTTCCAGTCCACAGACTCGCAGCACAAAATCGTCCTGTCTTCGCTCACCTGCAGCAAGCAGCAGCAGCTGCAGCACAGCCTCAGCAGCAGCAGCAGCAGCAGCAGCAGCAGCAGCAGCAGGGCTTCGGCGCGAGGCGCGCGAAGTCGCGGGCGCGGCGCTCGAAAGAGAGCAGCAGCAGCAGCAGCAGCAGCAGCAGCAGCAGCAGCAGCAGCAGCAGGGGTTTTGAATTACTTTTACGCTCCAACAGGCAATGACAAAATCTCTTCCCGAAAAGCCCCACTGGCCTTTGAAGGATTGGTAGACGAGGGAAAAGTCTCCGTCGTTTGCAATTGTGAAGACTGAGGCGGGAAAAAGGGAAAAAAAGGAATAAAAAAAGAATAAAAACGGCAAATTAGGAAATAAAATAAACAAATAAAGAAATAAAACAATAAATAAACTCATTTAGAATCCAAAAATGAAAAAAAAACGAAAAAAAACAAAAAAAAGACAAAAAGTCCAACCAAACGCATGCGCCACCGCGGGGTGTACAGACACCTGAAGAATGGGCTTCAGGTGTCTGTACACCGCGCGGTGGCGGCTGCGGATTTGCAAATTTGGAGTTTTGGGTTCATTTTTGTTCGTTTTTTGGAATTTAAAAGTCTGAAAAGCTGAAATTAATTGTTTAATTGCTTTTTAATTGACCTTTGTTGGAAGAAGAGTCGAATTTCATCTTGTTTTCGGGGGTGGAGAGGAAGTCGATGCAGCGCTGCAGCGGCACCGCGCCCAAGTTGATGCGCCCCACGCCCAGCAGCGGCGGCTGCTCTGCTGCAGCAACTTGCTGCGCAGCAGCAACTTTGAATCTGTAGCGATCACTTTTGAAAGTTTCAAAGCCCCGGCCTCCTGTCTTCTGGAAGCAGCTGCTGTCCTCCAGGTGGTCCACGATCCACTGCACCTCCGCCCCTATTGCCTTGCCCTGCCCGCAGCAGCAGCAGCAGCAGCAGCAGCAGCAGCAGCAGCAGAAGCAGCAGAGCAGCAGTAGCGGCAGGGACACAAGCAGCAGCAGCGGGGCAGCAGCAGCAGCCGACACACAAGCAGCACAGATGCATGCAGCTATGGAACGGGGCATGTAAAAGGGACTTCTGCTGCTGCTGCTGCTGCTGTTGCTGCTGCGGCTGCTGCCGTTGCTGCTGCTGCTGCTGCTGCTGCTGTCTTCACGCGCTGCGCAGAAAGTGCACGTGGTGCTGTGTACAGACAACTGTTCTTCGCAAAAGCATTTCAAAAGATTTAAATTATAAATCCAAAATATTTTAAAATGAACTTTAAAGATATTAAAATTGTTTTCTAAAAATAATTTTTGTTGCATGCGAACCCGGGATTTGAATCTGTGCCAGGCCGGCAGCGGCTGCTCCGGCTTCTGCTCCTCTTCCTGCTGCTGCTGCTGCTGCTGCTGCTGCTGCTGATCTTGCTGCTGCTCTTGTTGCTGCTGTTGCTTCTCCGTTTGCTGCTGCTCTTGCTGCTGCTGCTGCTGCTGCTGCTGCTGCTGCTGCTGCGCCTCCTCCCCTTCTAGCGGCTTCGCGGGCGAGGGAGCTGTAGAGGCAGAACCTTCCGAGTCTGCTGCTGCTTCAGGGCCTCCATCCTGCGCAGCAGCAGCAGCAGCAGCAGCAGCAGCATGCACAAGACGAGCACGCATGCATGCACGCTGGCAGCAGCAGCTAGCCGCTCTGCGCAGACGCCCCAAAAGCCCCTCCAAACAACCATGCATGCATGCATGCATGCATGCATGCATGCGCAGCAAGAGAAACATAACTAATAGCCGCATGCATGCATGCATGCATGCATGCATGCATGCATGCGCAGCAAAGGAAACACAGCTAAACAGCCACATGCATGCATGCATGTGGCTGTTTAGCTGCATGCATGCATGCATGCATGCATGCGTGCATGCATGCATGCATGCATGCATGCATGCAGAGACGCACGCAGAGTCCCGGGGGGGGCCCGGAAATTCTTTTGAAGACGCGGACAGCAGAGACTTCTCCAGGAAGACCTTCTTTGCGCAAAGTCACGCGGTACCACAGCGCGTCAGTCTCCATGCCCTGCAGCAGCAGCAGCAGCAGCAGCAGCAGCAGCAGCAGCAGGGTTTATTTAGCTGCATGCATGCATGCATGCGTGCATGCATGCATGCGTTTCACTTGAGTCTGCTGAGCCCCAGGCTGCAGCAGAAGCGCCCCTGCGCGCGCGCTGCTGCCGCTGCTCCCCCCGCCGCCGCCGCCGCTGCTGCTGCTGCTGCTGCTGCTGCTGCTGCTGCTGCTGCTGCTGCTGCTGCTGCTGCTGCTGCTGCTGATGATTACGTGTCCGTCGGGTTTGATCTCGCGAGTCTCGAAAAGAGTGGCTTTTTGTGCTGCATTTCTTTGAATTGTCTTCAAAAGATTTCCTTCCAGTTTGCTGCTGCTGCTCCAGGCCCCCACGTCTTCGTCTTCAGCCTCCACTGCAGCGCCGCCCAGGTTCAGCCGCACCGTCTGCGCAAACCCTAAACCCTAAACCCTAAACCCTAAACCCTAAACCCTAAACCCTAAACGCTGGATTTCCGGCCCTAGACCCTCAGTCGGAGCCGCGAGTTCGCAGCTCGAAACCCCAAACCCTCGCCCAAACCCCAAACCCCAAGCCCCAAGCCCCAAACCCTAAACCCCAAACCCTAAACCCTAAACCCTAAACCCTCGTGCCTTGGAGACGCCGGCAGTGAGGGTGGTGGTGATGGCGAACTCGGGAACTCCGTGTTTGTCTTCGAGAGAATATTTAATTTTAGGGTTTAGGGTTTCCACAGCACTTCTTATAAACCACGGAACCCCCAGCTGCTCAGTAATGGGGGACATGCTGCTGCTGCGGCTGCGGTCGAAGGCCCACTCCCCCAGAAACCGGTGAATCACCTGCGCAAACCCTAAACCCTAAACCCTAAACCCTAAACCCTAAACCCTAAACCCTAAACCCTCAGAGGAAGCGCGCGGCCCAGGCGCGGACACAGGAGGGCGTGGGGCGCGGAGAGCGCCGACAACGCGCACTTCGAGCAGATGCAACAAACCCTAAACCCTAAACCCTAAACCCTAAACCCTAAACCCTAAACCCTAAACCCTCAGCACATGATGCCACTGCATGCAAAGCACAGCTTTCAGGACTCGAAGCGTCAAAGCCGTCGCCGTCGCCGCAGCCCGCCCCCGAAACCCCAAACCCTAAACCCTAAACCCTAAACCCTAAACCCTAAACCCTAAACCCTAAACCCTAAACCCTTACCCTAAACCCTAAACCCTAAACCCTAAACCCTAAACCCTAAACCCTAAACCCTAAACCCTAAATACAAACCCTAAACCCTAAACCCTAAACCCTAAACCCTAAACCCTAAACCCTAAACCCTAAACCCTAAACCTAAACCCTAAACCCTAAACCCTAAACCCTAAACCCTAAACCCTAGAGCACCTTGAAGCGGGGCAAACCGAGAACGCCAGCCCCAATTCAACAAAACCCGCTTGTCTAGGGTTTTGGGCAAGTTCTCCGTGGGAGGCGCCACAGCCCCCGCCAGCATCAAACCCCTGGGGCCTTCGCGCTTCAGCACTTCGTCAATGTACTGTTCCATCGCCATGTCCTGCGCCCCAAACCGTAAACCCTAAACCCTAAACCCTAAACCCTAAACCCTAAACCCTAAACCCTAAACCCTAAACCCTAGACCCTAAGCTCCAGGCCCCAGGCTCGTCGCTTCTTCCCGCGCGCTGCTGCGGAAGCAGCAGCAGCAGCAGCCCCCACGAGGCTGCGCGCTGCCGCTGCTCCGAGGGTTTAGGGTTTAGGGTTTAGGGTTTAGGGTTTGGGAACTCGCCAGGCGACGGGGACTGAGGGGTTCTGTTGCTGCTTCGAAACCCCCGAAGTGCTGCTGCACTTTCAAGACAGAAGCGTCGAGTGTCTCTACACCTCCCTGCAGCAGCGGCAAGTCCGAAAGCCCCCCTTCAATGGGCAGCAGCGGCGGCAGCAGCAGCTGCTGCAGCAGCTCCCAGAGCTGCCACTTGGGCTGCTGCTGCGCGGGCAGCTGCTGCAGCAGCTGCTGCTGCTGCTGCAGCTGCTGCAGCGGCGACAAACACCTCGACAGCAGCCGCAGCAGCCACGGCTGCCGCCGCTCCGCAGGCGGAGCAGCAACAACGCGAGGCAGCAGCGGCCCCTGGGTCTGTTCACAAACACCCAACAAACCCTAAACCCTAAACCCTAAACCCTAAACCCTAAACCCTAAACCCTCGGGAAGCCCCTGGGAGCGGGCCACTCAGGCCCGCAGCAGCTGCCGCTGTAGCAGCCACTGCCGCAGGGCCAACGCCGCTGCAACAGCAGCAACACCCATCCCAGGTAGACCAGCAGCAGCAGCAGCAGCAGCAGCAGCAGCAGCAACAGCAGCAGCAGCAGCAGCAGCAGCAGCAAAGCACCTGGAGGATGTCGAAATTGAATTCGAAGGCACTGACTTCTCTCTCAGCGATTTCGTGAACTGCCTGCAGCTGCAGACAAAGCAGCAAAATCACCCACAGCACACTGCTGCTGCTGCTGCTGCTGCTGCTGCTGCTACGCCTCTTCCTGCTGCTGCTGCTGCTGCTGCTGCGTACGCTGTCATCCTGGCTTCTGTCTCCGAAGGACTGCAGCAGCAGCAGCAGCAGCGAAAGAGCTGCGCCGAGAACTGCCACGAGAACAGCTGGGGAGAGCAGCGGCAGCAGCGGCTCGCGCAGCAGCAGCAGCCGCAGCTGCTCCAAGTGCAGCAGCTGCATTTGCTGCAGCAGCAGCAGCACGGAACGCCCAAACCCCACAAGGGCCCCCAAGCAGCAGCAAACTGCAACAGCTCCAATGTGGGGCAGCCAGCTTTCAAGACTTTGCGGCAGTTCTCCCAAGCAGCAGCTGCTGCTGCGGCGGGACTGCAGCAGCAGCTGGCAGACCTCCCGCAGCCGCAGCGGCAGCTGCAGCAGCAGCAGCAGCAGGCACGGCAGCAGCACGCGGTGTGCTGCAGCAAGCGGCAGCAAACACAGCTCCAGGCAAAACGGGGCGAAGCAATACTCTAGACGCAAAGGCGGCAGCAAAGCTTCTGCTGCTGCTGTTGCTGCTTCTGCTGCTGCTGCTGCTGCTGCTGCCTCGGCTTCTGCTTCTGCAGCTGATGCACCCCCTTCTGCAGCGGTTTCCTCCGCGTTGCTGCTGCTGCTGCTGCTGCTGTTGCTGCTGCTGCTGCTGCTGCTGCTGCTGCTGCTGCTGCTGGGCGCTTTGGCTGCGCCCGCAGCTGCAGCAGCTGCTGCTCCTGCTGGCAGCGGCTGTGTCCGCATGTAGCGAGAAAGCCGCAGCAGCTCAGCAGCAAAAAGCAGCAGCAGCTGCAGCGCCAGCGCGAAGAAAGCTGAGAAGGGGCAAGAGGGTCCCGTTGCTGCTGCTGCTGCTGCTGCTGCAGCAGCAGCAAGCGCAACTAAAGCAGAACCCCCTAAAGTCGCCTGCAGCAAAAAGAGCTGCTGCGTCGAGGCGAAGTACGCGCCCGCTGTGCAAACAACACAAACCCTAAACCCTAAACCCTAAACCCTAAACCCGAAACCCTAAACCCTAAACCCTAAACCCTGAAGTTAGAACCAAAGCAAAAGCCCATCACCCCAAGCTTGAAACGCGCAGTGCCGCAGCTCCCCAGGCAAGGGCCAAACCTCAGCCCCACCCCCAAACCCCAAACCCTAAACCCTAAACCCTAAACCCTAAACCCTAAACCCTACAAGAGGGGGACTCGCAAGAAGCTGACAGGAGGTCCGACTCGCGCAAAGAAGCTGAAGCTTCTGTAACAGCAACAGAAAGTGTTCTGAGGGACTTCCAGATTCCCAGGGGCTGCGCAGCAAGCCGCAGCAGCAGCGGCAGCAGCAGCAGCAGCAGCAGCAGCAGCAGCTCCGCGGCGCTGCGGCAGTCCCGCAGCCGCTGCACTGCCTGCCCCGCCAGGCCCCAC